GTTCTTCCTATTCAAGACGGTTTTAGCTATTATGAATCCATTGCGTAAATTTTAGGATCAGCTTATTAATTTCTGCACACAAGTCATCTGGTATTTGGTAGGGATTACATTAAATCTGTATTTCAACTTGAGGAGTGTGAACCATAGTCTTTTGACCCATGGATATGGGAGCATTTCCCTTTATTTAGATCTTTAATTTTTTTTCAACAATATTTTACAGCTTGGCGGAGAAAGAGATGTGAAAACATGGAGAGTGACTTAATCTCCCGAGCCTGGGATGTGACAGACAAGTACTTAGAAATCCATCAAATGTTTCTTCATCTCCCACAATACAATAAAGCCTCCTTGAACACAGCATCCACTGAGTTAACTTGGGCATGCCACACAAACAAACAAACACGCATTAACGCGTCGTTGTTGCCCGACTGCTCTATGAAATTGAGAGAAGGTTCGTTTCTTGATTCAGACAATGCAACGAAAAGGTCCTGTGGGTGAACCAAAGGGGACATTTTTACAAAAGACGTGTTGGTTCCTTATAGTGCAGCGTGGTTTCTGTCAGATCTTATCAACCTTCATACTTTCGACAGCGTATCAGTGATGTATCTTATCACAAAAACAATAACAACTTACAGGAACTCGTTTCCAGCCCTTCAAAAATGTTCATCGATTTGGTAGCACAGACCTGTTTTGCAGAGCGGGAGGTTAATTCCTCTAAGTCTAAAACCCTGCTGTTGCCGGTAAGTAAAATTCTAAGTATTCCACGTCAAGCACAAACACTTATGTTGAGACTTGAGAGCATATTTAGCTTGATGTCGGCATGTTGGAAGGATCCCAGGAATCAATGTATGTGCATTTGGTAAGAGCAGAATGGCACGTCGAAGTGAGTTTTACATTTGACTGCATTCAGTTTCACCACTACATGAGAGATGAAGGTGCCCTAAAGGTTGCAGGCGGTTCAGAGAAATATTATTGGGAAAGGAAACACAAAGAATAAAAATACCCTATTGTATCAGGGGACAAAAAGAAACAGGCCATTGTTATTTTTATTAAAAATAGGCCAAATCTGTTTAATCTTATTGTATTATGGTCTCCTTTTTAAAAGTCTGTGTATCCTAAGAATACATAATAACATAGCCTACGAAATTTAAATATCAATTAAGAAGGGTTTTTAAACAAAAGAGTTTAAGGAAATTGCCCTATCAGAGCACAGAAAGAAACATTCTAAAAATATTATATTGTTCTCAATATATTTATTTTATTAGTTCTATTAATTGCTACAAATTGCTACTGTTAGCTAGTCCAGTTGTTTTGTTTAATATACATAACAAAAAAGTAAATAATACAGAATAATATATAATTTCAAATAAACATCTATTTTTCATATTTTATAGTAAAGTAAAAAACATATGTGTATTATTTATTATATACTATATTATTATCATATTTGATTTCATTTGTCTGTGTCCTCAGTTGGTTCTCTACAAAGTGTTTAAAAATCCACAAACTACGCAGAAGCCCAGTTCCTACGGGAAATGAGCCCATGTGATGCTCCTGGTGACGCTCAGAAGTGCGAGTGGGTCGGAGGCATTTAGAGGGGAAACTAAGGCCCTTTGTGACAAGTATGGTCAAGCACCAGCGAACTGGAATGATTAATGTTAGTGTGATTGTATTAGTGGGCTTGGGGTGGCATAACACCACCACAGACTAATGGAAATTAATTTTCTTACAGTTCTGGAGGCTGGGAGCCCAAGACTGAGGTGCGAGCAGGACTGATATCTCCCGAGACCACCCTCTCACCACGTGCCCACAGGACCTTTCCCCTGTGGTGCTCAGTGAGGGAGATCTCGGGCGCCTCTCCCTCTGCTTGTCTGGGCACTGGTCCTGTTGGTTTAGAGCCACACCCTTAGTGACATTAATTAACGTTGATGACCCCCCCAAAGGCTCTATCTCCAAGGGCAGTTACATTGGGGGTTAGGGCTTCAACATATGGATTTTAGGGGAACATGATTGAATCCATTACAGTGACCCTCCTAGGCACTCCTAGTCCGGCAGATCCTACAGAGCAGAAAACAGAAATGAGATCAAACAAGAAATGAGACCTCTTTAAGAAGTGTCACTAGTTCCGCTCCTGCTCAGTTATACAAACTCTCAGATGGATCCCACAAACAAAACCCAGCTATATGCTATCCACGAGAAATACACGTAAAGAAACAAACAAAAAACATGTGCAAGAAAAAGGTTAAGGTTAAAAGAATGGCACACATGGCATCCAAGTGTTAATGCAAAGAAATCAGGGTTCACAACTCTGACCCCAGGAAAATACGATGTGGACGAAGACAGCACTGAAAGGGACCAATGGGATAAAATCATAAATTTAATCACGGAAGGTACAGTCAAAATAAAGTACGCGTCTGTCTTTCTGTCTGCTCCGCAGCGAGAAACTTGAATAAGGGCCTCCCGGTCTTCAAAAGACTAGGCAAACCATCAATTATGGCAGAGAGGCCTTGAATGATAACGGCCAATACGGTTTATTTCCTAAGCATCCGAGGAACTGTGTGTTCTCTGAATTCTTTTCTATTGTCTATAGAAGACACACACACACACACACTATTCCACACGCTTTGTTCACAATGTTATAAAAGTTGAAATAACAAAAACCTCTCAACATTTGGGAATGAAAAAGCGGCTATCCTAAATAACTCTTGGGTTAAAGAGAAGATCAAAGCTATAATCATACACCATAGCCCCATATGAGGGCTGGACCCCGCCAATAGGAAGTCAGTAGCCTTGACCTCCCTCCCCGGTAAACAGACAGGACAGAAGTCAGTGAGCGTCTGGGGCCACTCAACAGCTACTGCGAAGCACAGCAAACGGAGGAGACGCGTGAGCGGTGATAACACGCCGACGTTAATGAGTGAGGCGGCAGAAAAGCAGTAAGGCTGACAAATGCCTCTCACGCTGCTTCTCTGGGGAAAGAAGAGCAAAATAGGAAATATCCTGACCACAAAGACAAAAGAGAGAAAACACAAATTCACGAAATTGTGCACGAATGTAGGATGCAACCAGGGCATTTGCCAAAATGGCTCTAGGACCGGTTAGGAAGGCTTGCGGCTCTCCATCTACGCGGAGGTCCGGTTCATTCATTTCAACTGCCCAATTCTTCTTTTCCAGGGTGGAAATACATCAGTGTGTTAATCCGTTCTCCCACTGGTGGATATTTAGATTTCTTTTGTTGTTGTTGCTGCAACAAATAACACTACAATGAACATCAATGCACCTGTACCTGGGGCATATGTCTCCGAGTTCTGTAGGGCAGTAAGTTTCAGTGTGGCCTCTGGGCCACTAGCGTCCACGGCGCCTGGGAGCGAGTTAGCAATGCAGATTCCCAGGCCTCGCTCCAGACCTGCTAGATCAGAAACCCCAAGGTGGGGCCCCTTAGTGCAGATTCCCAGGCCTCGCTCCAGACCTACTGGATCAGAAACCCCAAGGTGGGGCCCCAGCAGTTCTGGTTCAACAGTCCCTCCAGGTGAGTCTGGTGGGTGTTTGTCCTGGGAAGCACTGCCCCAGGGTATGCACTGTACTCAGGAGGGGGATTGTTGGAGTGCAAGGTAAGCAGACCTCTATTTTTATAGGCTGTTGCCAATAAGCTCTCCTAAGGGCTGTGCCGATCTAGGGCATGTATTTCAATATCTTGTCCTAGTCTGTGCCTTGTCTTTTTACTTTGATAACGGGGATTATAATTATACAAAGTTTTACCTTTTGTATGGTAATAACACTTATTGCTCTTTTTTCCCCCCTAGTGTGCATGTGCGTTGTTATTGGGGGGATTGGATCTTGTTAAAGAAATCCCCCTGCCTGCAGCGCCATGAAGACATTTCCCGGACTGTTCCCGTGAAATGAAGGCCGCCTTCGAAAGGGCGAGCAAACCCTACGTGAATTCACCGCCTGCTTCGGGCAGAGCCCCAGGCTGTCGCCCCCTGGCCGGGTTGTGTGCATCTCCTCGGAGCAAAAAGCGTTGTCTCCTTTCTGTAACTTTACCTCCCGAGCCCTCTCTCCTGTCCCCACCTTGCTTCTTTGGACTCACCTTTCCACATCGGGCAGAGAGACTCAAAGTCCAGGCGCCAGGCCGTGGCGATGAAGCTTGCGACAGAAATGATGTGACCGCCTCTGAGAGGTGCAACTCCGGCAGGGAAACCACACCGGCTGAGTGGGAAACAAAAAACAAACCCGAGAGAGGCCCACACGAAGAACCGTGGTTTCCCACACGCTGTGTTATTTAGAGCCAGGGGCCAGCCAGTCGGCCGGGCAGAGCGTGAGAGGCCGCAGGCTAAGGGTGCAGCGGCCCGTCGGACCCCGACCCCCTCCAGGCGCAGATGTGACAAAGCCCTGCAAGGAACCGAGGGGATCCATTCACCCCATCTGGATGGATCTACACTGTTTAAGGATAAAAAATAAAACCCAATAGGTGGACTTTTGCAAAAATACAAAACAAAACCAAAAAGCACACCGAAGAATGAAGCATGGAATTGCTTCTAGGAAGTTCGGGGGAAGAGCAGGCACCCTTCTGGGCAGGTCACAGGTGCAGACAAGTGGTGGCAGGGATGATTATTAAGAAAAGCACCAATATATACTCTCGGTGGGCTCAAGATTTTATGTAAAAAAGAGAAAGTAGATTCCAGATGAATTAAAGAATTGTAAGTAAAAAAGAGTATCACTGCATTCCAAATGAGTTTGGTAATTTTGAAAACCCTCTATACGGATATTTAAATGTCCCCCAAATCAAAAATGCTAAAACCACAGCTTTAAGTGCAATCCAACAACAACAAAAAGCTGAGAAACGGAAGCGGGGCATCGTTAGAAGTCTCCTCGAGAAGGCCAGCCTCCCCAGCAGGGCCAGCTCGCTTCCCACGGGACAGAGCGGGACCCAGCCCGGCGTCTGGAAATCCCTCCTGCTCCCTCCAGGACTCCGAGGCCCAGGCCCTTCTCCCCGGCCTCCTCGGCTCCATCCCCCGAAGCTGCCCTCGCTCGGGACATCTCCAGGGACAGCAGCTGACCCTCCGCCCGAGACCCAGGAACTCGGAGAGTTTCCAGATGTCTGAGGTGCCAGACGCACCGTGCGCCAAGGAAACATTTTAGCCAGCAGTTGACCGAGTTTCATGGAACCGTTTTCCCAGACACAGGCAGGGCTTTGCGAGGGCAACAAAGATAAGGAGAGAAAATTGGAGGGAGGAACCAAACATCCGGCGACTTCGCAGGCCACCGTGGAACCTTGTTTATCTTGTTCAAGATCCATTAGTTAGAAATGGGCCAAACCATTTTGATAAAATAACTGTGTTTGGAGATGTTTCCTCTGACCCTCAGAAGCACTCCAGGCGTCTCATATGCTTGAGTTTTCGCTACCACCTCATGAGCAAGCCAACTTTAGAGCACTTTTGTGTATTCCTCCTGTTTTATTAATTCGTTCTTCACCACTTTTCAACTGTGATACCTGTATAGAATAGAGAATTATCGAAATGGAAAAAAGCAAGAAGACAGGAAAAGTCAATAGTGATCTCATGAAACACTAATATTTTAGGATATTTTCTCATCTGGTTTTTCATGCATATAACCCAGAGATACAGCAAAACTGGGACAATACCACATAAAGAGGAGGCGATCCTTCTCATTAAAATTTAAAATTATATAGTAAACTTATTTCCTTAAATTATAATCAAGAACCGGATTTTTAGAGATTATTAAGTGTACCCTTATATTGAATTATTGCAATTTATCCAAGCGACTCCTTATTTTTGGACACGTAGGTTGTTTTCCGTTTTCCATGATAAGAAACTTCCTTGTATGTAAAGTTCTTTATCGTTGAATTTCTTATTTTTCCAAAATAAATTCCTAGAAATGGAATTACTGCTCAGGTGGCATGAACATTTTAAAGGTTTTTTTCTTTGTTAATTTAATCTTCCTGCGATTTCAGGTTCCATATTGTAAAATGGGACAACAGTAACACTGATCTCACAGGACTGTCGAGAGGACCGAGCGAGATGATTTATTGCAACCTTTTTAGCAAACTCTAAAGCAGCGTGCATCCCATTCCAGCGGGTTCCCAGGCAGGCTAATTAGCCACGTCCTACGGTGAGCGAGCCGAGCACAGAGGCGGAGGCAGAGCATTCGCAGGTTCTGGCCTGAAAGGGGGCCTATTGTCCCCACCTGTGATTCCCTACCTGCGGTCACAGGCTGCAGGGCTTTGTACGGGCTGGAAAGAGCCGCTGGGGAGTGGTAAAGGCCTGCCTCCTCTCTGCCATGCTGAGCCCAACCATTCGGCCCAGGTCTGAGAAGTCCGAGGCTTCCCCGCAACCTGGAACCAGAAAGAGTGACTAATAAATATGGTGTTTTATTTAGTTATTTGATTTTTTTAATCGTCACTTGAGGATATTTTTTCCATTGCTTTTAGATAGAGTGGAGGGGGCGGCGGGCGGAGAGAGAGAAACATCGATGTGAGTGACACATCAACTGGTTGCCTCCTGCACAGGCCCTGACCAGGGCGGGGAACGAACCTGCAACCCAGGTGTGTGCCCTTGACCGGGAGTAGAACCCGAGACCCTTCGGTGAGCAGGCTGATGGATGCTCCAACCACTTAGCCACACCGGCCGGGGCTGGTGGTTTATTTTTTCAGTGGAAAACTGAACTTCCTGAATATGTCTAGGATACAGATTTACGTACACACACCTACACACGCCGTATGCATCATGACCAGGTCAACATCAGTTTTCAGGGGATGGTCTCAGGGCCGGGGGCAGCGCAGCCAGGTCCACTCCCCGTGGGGGCTGCGTCTAGAGGACAAACGCGGAAAGGGAGCCGCGGCCTCCAGCAGCCTCCCTCGGAAGGCCGCCTTCGGGAATCGGAGCTCTCCCACTGTGAACCGTCTAAGAGATAATGGGCTTCAAGTCAGAAATGAAGCAAAATGGGAGAGAAATCCAGGCCAGTTAAATAAAGCTGAAGTGACTGGGGTGCCGAGGGAGAGCCATGGCCCACGAGGACAATCTCATTTCATCTTTAATTTGCATATGGCAAAGATTGATTTTCTACGGCTAATCCAAATTTATGACACATCAGGTGATATTTAAAGGGCTCAATGGAGCATTTAATAGCCAAACATTTTTCCTGATTAGTACCCACTTGACCTGGTGACCCAGAGATGAATGCTGATCACCCCTCCCACCCCCCAATGGCTGTCAGTGAATCACTGCCAAGCAGGCGGCATAAACAGAGCCAGGCTGTAGCTGGCGTGTCCAGGCCTTCAGAAGCCCGATGTTCTAGAAGGGTGGGCGGGGGTGACTGGTGGTCTTATTGGTCCCTTTAAAAAAAAAAAAAAAAAGTTTTTATTGATTTCAGAGAGAGGAAGGGAGAGGGAGAGAGAGAAACATCAGTGATGAGTCACTGATCCGCTGCCTCCTGCACGCCCCCTACTGGGGATCAAGCCCGAAACCCGGGCATGTGCCCTGACCGGGAATCAAACAGTGACCTCTGGGTTCATAGGTCAACGCTCAACCACTGAGCCACGCCAGCCGGGCTTATTAGCCTCTTTTTTTAAAATTACACACACAGCTTAGCCTCGTTTATGCAGAATACACTTATAGAGCATCCACTATAAGCCATCGTCCTTCTTATACGACATATTAATAATCTCGATAAATCAGGATTTTTCATCTCCATTGATGGGTGAGAAAATGGAGTCTCTGGGAAGTTAGGTAATTTGCTCAATCACCTGGCAGGTAAGTGATGGGACCAGGATCGAAACTCAGTTCGAGTGACTCCAAAGCTTAAACTCCTTCCGGTTCGGCACAGCTCACCAAAGACTCACAAGTCACGGCCTCGGGCAGTGTCGATCCAGCAGAAACCGTCAGGAGTCTGGGTCAAGGCTCCGGGGAGAGTCGCCAGAGCTGGATATATTCGTACACTCCTCTGGGGCAAGACACCTTAACTTTACTTAGGTTTTTAAAATGCCACGTTGCCTCTGACCAGGTTAAATCCACAGGCCCCACTAGGGTCGCCCACCTCTGGGGACCATGCAGAGGGCTGGAAGCCTATCCGCTGCTTGCTGATCCCACCTGATTTACTATGATCCCTGCCCACCTGTGTCGTAGACCCAAGTACATGCCTCTTTCATCCGACTGCTCTGAATTCCCGTGGACTTAGTATGTACTCGACCCTTCCACCTTATTAGCTTTCTTTCAGGCCATTGAAGAAAGAAGAGCTTGTTAATAAGTGGAGTTGGGATGTCTAGCTAAACATTTTGAAAAGACAAGTCTCGTGATTTCTACCCAAAATAGATTCCATATGGCGTGAGGCAATAAATGTAAAAAATCTCACCAAGAATATACCTGAATAATGACATAATTTTAAAGTATGAGGGCAATTTCTTAACACAAGCTCAAGGGCAGTTATCTTAAAAGGAAATTACGTGAGGATTAAAACCCCTGAACATCAAAAAGTACCATAAAAAATTAAAAGGCAAATAAATGAATAAAAAACATATGAAACACGTGTGACCAAGGATTAATATAATTAATCTATAAAAAAAATCCTTGTAAATCAATAAGGAAGGATGAATTCTCCGAAAGACAAATGGGCTACAGACACGAACAGTTAGTTTACAAAAGATGAATCACAAAGTGCTAATAAAAATGTGAAAGACGTCCATTCTACTTTTAACCAAAGTGGTAAGATGAAGACAATGAGGATTTTCTTTAAACCGTAACAATCAATAAAGAAAGCTGTAAGGAAAGGAGCCCAGGTGTACCTGCTGCCAGGGTTTAAATTGGCGCCACGTGTTTAGAGAGTGGCTTAATTGTTTTGAGTTTGTAACAAAAGTCCTTAAAGTGTGTGTGTGTTTTGATTTAGCAATTCCACTTTCGGAGATTTGGTCTAACAGTCACTCACATAGGCAAAGATGGGGGATATTTATGACAATGGTCTTTGTAACAGTGGAAAAGGGAAACTTTCCCCTGTTTAATGATAGGATATTGGTTGAAGAAATTATGGCTTGTTCTTCTAATAGAACACTGTGGTTCTGACAAATAATTTTGAAGAAACATATCTATAGTCATGGAAATATGCCAATGATATATTAATAAGTCAGTACTCCGGGTTGTGAAGTAGAAAGTACTATGGTCCTGCTCTCATAACATGAATTTATGTGCAGATGTGATCATCCAAGCAGCACCGGCCAACAGAAATATAACACAAGCCTCACAGGTAATTTTACACTTTCCAGCAGCCACATTTAAAAAGTTAAAAAGAAATGAATATAACTGATGATATGTTCCATTTAACCCAATAGAGTCCCAATATTACAACAGTATCATGTAATTGATATAAAAACTATTGAGATATTGTACACATTTTGTGTGTGTGTTAAATCTTCAAAGTCTGATGTGTGGTCCCCCTTACGACGTGTCTCCCCCTGGGCTCCACCCGTTTCACGTGCTCCGTGGAACAGTGGCGATCGATGGGGACGGTGCAGATCTAGAGTCATACCCCCCAAGGTTTTAACAGTAGCAACTGGAATAATTAATGTCCTATATATTCTTTCTGTTATTATGTTTTCTGGAGTAATCATGTATTACTTTTTTTTTTCCCCATAGAAAAAATAACCAAAGAAATACTTCTATTTACTGGGAGGTGGGAGTAAAAAGAATCCCTTTCGTATCAGGTCAAACGGAGGCCAGAGGGGGGATCAACCACTCTGACCACACGCGCCCGGAGGCTGGGACAGAGCTGCTGAGCTGCCCTGGGCGACTCCCAGGACACCGACCAGGGAGGGGCCTTAGTTATTTTAAGGAGCGTCGGGATTTTGTTCAAGTAAACATATTGATTAAAAAATAGCTATCACCCAGGGTTTGGAAATCAGATAATTCCTTTTTAAAGATATTCCATGGAACTCAGCAGAGGTGTGATGAGAAAAACATTGAACGCTTCCCTCCGTGTGGATGTTAATCTTTAAGAGTGTTTAGGAGAATTCTGAAAGCCACCCTTCAATTAAGCCAGATTGGTGGGTAGAAATGTTCCAGCAGAGAGAACATAAAAATAGAAGCAGTATTCTGTCACAACGTACATTATTCAAACATCTTCACATCGAGTAGCATCTAAACGAGTTGCTAGAAATCACTTAGGTAAACTGCAGAACTAATATCCTTGTAAGTAATCTTGTTTTACCAAATTTGAACATATCGATGAATGTTCTTTCACTTCCCACTAAAGCGTAAATTCCATGTCCCATTTCCTGGTGCTTCCCTCGGGCCTCGCACCCCTGGTCAGAAGTGAGAGTGGCCCCGGGGACCCCAAACTTGCAGCTGCTGCCTGAATCTTGGGCAGATGTGGCATCTTGTGGACAACCGCGCCCTTAGCCTCGCGTGCGGCAAACTCGTCGCAGCTGTTTCTCATCGTGGTGTCTGTCTTACAGATTGCCGGGGCCTGGACCATAGGTTTGTAAACTACAGCCCAAGACCCAAATCTGCCCCTGTGCCTATTTTTGCAAATAAAGTTTTATTGAAACACCACTGTGCTCATTCCTTGACATATTATCTGTAGCTGTTTTCCAGCGGTAGCAGCGGGTTGAGTAGGGGCAACAGGCACAGCGCGGCCTGCAAAGCCTAAAACATTTGCTACCTGGCTCTTTCCAGAACGAGTCTGCCAGTCTCTGGTCTGGGCCTGACGCTGACCTGGGAACTGGGCATAGAGACTCAGAGGGCCACTAAGGATGGGGTGATTCGTATTGTCTTCCACAGGACGTAGAGGGGCGGGACAGTTTATAGATGACAAGGAAAGTAAGGCACAGTCATGGACTCACCCAAAGAAAGGCCAGGTACTAGTTGGCCATGGCGTCTCTGCACGGTTACTGTCAAGTGACAGTCTTCCAGGCTGGCCTCCGCCTTCGCCTCTTTGTCGTCAAAATTATTCTATAGGAGGGATTTTTTTTTTTTTTGTCCCCAAGACACACATTTCCAATTTTAGGCCGAGCAATGATGGTAATTTCCATTTTATACTCTACAAACTTTGCCAACAACTGAAATAATAGTTGTTCAACTCTTTAAAAATGCCAACTGGAGTCATTCTGTCCAGAGATTGGCTCAAATTCTACCCACATTCTACAGAGAGTGACATGCCGCCCTGGTATTTCTACCAAGACCCCAGAGGTCACGTCGCGGGGCTCCGAGCCTCCGCCTCTTGCACCCAGCTTCTGCCTCCGCCGAACTGGTCGTGGTCTCAGCCCCTCTCCCCCTGTGCGCCCTGTCCCCGCTGCCTCGCGGGGTCGTCTTTGACACTCATGCACGTTTAGACACTCACACGGGCCTTCTCGGGTGTATCAGAACTTGCCGAAAGTTGGAAGAGACGGAAGGACTCGACATGGTGTCAACGCCAGCAACTTAACAGCAAAGACTATATGACCGTGGTTCCCAAACTGTGCGCCGAGATACCCTGGGGTGCCGCAGTGAACCACAGCGGCGCCACAGGGGGTTTTAAACTTCCAGGGGAAACAAAGTGATGTTCCACGTCCGCTGGGCTCTGAGGCAGTCACTGGCTCAAAGTAGTTCACTGTTTCAACAGTAGATTGCGCTACATTCCTTGCAATGCCACAGTGTCGCGGTGAACCTCGGATGTTCAGAGCTGCTGAGAGGAACAGCATGCAGCCGGTGAAAACCAGCACGGAACAGGCAAGGAGGGCGGCAGTGTCCCACCCGATCCCAAGGTCTGAGAGGCGCGCACCCCCAAGGAGCGCTCATCTGGTGGCTTATTTAACAACAGAATGATTTCTATCATTATTTCAAACTGCTACTAAGTTGTTAGCACATATTGAACGGTTTGGGCTCCCTACTTAATAACAGAACCCTTAGGTATTTCTTCTGGCCTCCAGGGTGCCATGGAAAAAACGACAGAGGCCGAGAAAAGCCTGAATGCTGCTGCTCTCGTAGGTCGCACTGTTGAAAAAAACCTGGCTGGGCCATTTCTGCCGGCTTAGGTGCCAGCCCCTGGCCTAGGGGCTCCGCGTTTCATTTTCTCTGCGAAGCTGTGTCTCATTTCTCAGCTTCTGATGGTTTCCCCTGCAGAAGGCCGCCGTCGCCTCTCGGGTTTCCTCGCCTCCTCCCAACCACGCCATGCGGGGTGTCCCTCCCCTCCCAACCGCCAGCAACTTATCGAGGTGTTTCCGACACAAAGACAATTTCCTCTCTTAAAGAAACTCGGCTGATTAAAAGAATATATATATTTTTTAATCTTCTAGTATAAATTGTTGTGAGGTGGGAGAGCAGGCCTGGCACCGAGAGAGCACGGCGCGTGGAGGAACAGGGGGGCAGAAAGGCCAGCTCGGCGACGGGAAGGAGAGAGGAAGGTCCGGGGAGAGGCTGCCTGCTTGTCGTTTTCACCCCGACCACAGGCCACCTGTCCAGGGCCCAAACACAGAGCACGTGGCCCAGACACAGCATCCCCCTGTAAGAGCTGCCTACCCGGGAAGGGCAGGACTTTAGATCACCCGGACGCTCTATTTCCTGCTGCAACTAAATAGACTTGCAGAGGCTGCTAGTTTCACCCAGCAGATGTGTCTCTTTTCTCAGTTTCTCCAAAATTAATGACACTTCTTAGTCATCTTTGTGGGGCTTCACGCGTACACACCAGCCAGGCCTGCCCTTGCTCTACCCGTCATTCGTCCTATTTAAGGACGTGATACAACTCTGCCCACCTCCGGGGGAGGGGCAGCGGAGAAAACCGATTCTCTTTCTAGAGCGGACCTGACCTGGCGTCGCCGGAGCCTCTGCCTGCGCCCTTCGCTCTGACGTCCGATAATGGAAATATCCGTCTTCTCTCCAGCTCCCGCTCGCTGCAGCAATGCCCTCTCCTATATCCATCACTGCCAAATGGCTGACAGAATGACAGACACACAAAGTCGTTCCTTACTGTCGGAGAAATCTCTCACCCCAGTGGGTTTTTGTAGTTACCCTGACACCTCTCCGGCCATACGTGTCCTTTGCAGTGGCTGCCACATCCCGCTGGGCCTCGAAAGAGCCACCTGTGCCCATGTTTCGTTGCGTTAATTTCCATTAATCCCCCTGGCAAGTAGGACATCTGAGCTGCTTATGACACTCCGAGAAGGCCATTTACACAGGCCCAAGTCATCCATGTAATGAGCGGGGAGGAACACGGGTTCTCGGGGTCTGGGTGGGGGATGCCTGCTTGGAGTTATTTCTTGCTCAGCCATCTGAAGGATCCAAGGTCGCCTGAAACTTCAGGTGTCGAGTCTGTGTTTCACCCTCTGATATGGGTAGAGGTCTCAGTGTGATTTCAGTCGAGCATTGTGGAAATCGGCTCCTGCTGTTCGAGGCACTGGCCTGAGGGCTCACGGGAGCTGGTCTCCAGATACAGTGCCATCCATGCCTCCCCCATCCTATAGGCATGTGTGGTTCAGTACTCGAAGAGATGGAGCTTAATTCCCCTTCCTTAGAATCTGGCAGCCCTTGGGTTTGCTTTGACCAAAACAATGTGATGGAAATGACACTGTACCTCCTCTAAGCTTAACCTCTAGGAGGTCTGGCAGCTTCTGCTACTTCTGTCTCTTAGGAGCCAGATGCTAAGTAAGAAATTCAACTGCTCTGAGATGACTGTTCTGTAAAAAAGCCCAAGTTACCAAATGAAGAGGCCACAGGGGGGAGGAGTTGCTTGGATAGCCCCTGGCTGTTCCAGTCATCCCAAGTGAGATGTGAGACAGGTGAGCAAAGAAGCCACCTTGCATGTTTCAGCCCAAAAGACACCACATGGAGCAGAACAACCACCAGCTGAGCCCATCCCAGATCGCAGAACTGTGAAAAATAACAAGCTGTCATTTTAAGTCACTAATTTTTGGGAGGGCATGTTGTGTAGTAGCAGATAACTAAAACAGTGCTTAACAAAGAAGGATTTCATTTAATAACTATAACAACCAACCCTGCAAGGAAGCTAGGATCTGCTCCCGCATTTCACAGTGAGGAAATTGAGGCTTTGAGAATTCCACGATACGACCAGAGTAATGCAGCTGGTCAGTGGCTGAGCCAGCACATGATCCCGGTCCTGCCCGATCCCAGAGTCTCCTCACTGAGCCTGAATATCCTTCTGCTTCTCCATGGAGGACGGGAACTCCCATGCCCGTGGTATCTGATAGGGCTGTCCTCTGTTCAAAGGAAATCTGTTAAAATGCTTGGATTAACAGATGCTCATAGCTCCTGACGCCCCCTTCCCTTCATGTTTCCCTAAAAGAAACCCCCATGTCAGGCTTTTTATGAAGATGGATAGCGGCCATGTGGACCATGTCTGGGAATGACAGCTGCTGACAGGGACACAGAGGACGAGAGGACAGCTGGGGAAGGAAGTAGTAGCATTTGTTGAATAACTCGCATGTGCTGTTTGCTGCGCATGGCCGACTGATCTAATCCTCGGAAACCTAATCGGGCTGGCATAATTATCTCCGCTTTGCAGATGAGAAAGCTGAGACGCAGAGAGGTTCAGGAACTTGCCCGAAGTAACCTGGAAGTAGATATCAAACAAGGGTCTGGCTGTGAGTCGGTTTAGCTCCGAAGTCTGCAGTCTATCGGACCTAATTAAATCCAAAGGCCCGGGCTTCTGTCATATGCACAACTCGGAGATTCTTAATGTGGGAGGTAAGGGCGTTTCTAGATTTTGCAGTTTATTTTTCAATGTCTTAGTTTTGCCAAAGCCAAAGCCAACCTGGGGGTCAAAACTTCAGAAAAGCGACAACATGTTTCAAAGAAGGACAAATGAGAACAAACTGAAATATAAACCTGTTCAGGAAAGCAAAGCGGAACAGAAGCCACTCCTGGCGCGGCCTCCTGGAACGACCAGGTGTTGGAAGGGTCACTGCGAGGGGCTGACGTCGGGCAGCAGGACGGATCCCTGCTCACACGGTCTGTGTCTCTCTGTGAAACACCACAGCAGAGGCTGCCAGCTGCTACAGCGGGTGTCTAAGAAACTTTAAAATGTTTCGAAAAATCAAAACAACCTCTAAAAGTTGCCCTGCACACATTACGGCCCCGTCAGGGTGCAGCAGCAAAGAAGGCAGGGTCCCCAGAGCCCCCATGGAGCACCCATAGCTATGGAGTGGCCTGTAGTTTCTGTCCACCTAGGCAGGGGTGGGGAACCTTTCTTCCGCCAAGGGCCATTTGGATATTTATAACATCATTGGCGGGCCATACAGAATTATCAACTTGAAAATGAGCCTGCTATATTTGGTCGGACACTTAATTAACTCACCCCTGATGTGATGGCTGGAACTGCTTCTCTTTGGTGAGGCCTTGGCGGGGCCAGACCACATGATTTCATTGGCCGTATGCGGCCCACAGGCCAGACGTTCCCCAGCCCTGACTTTGAGGAAGGTTGGCCTGCATACGGGAACTTAGTTTGTCTGCCTTTGTGCAAGTACACTCGCACCCACACACATGCATTCACACACACACATGTATGCACACACACATGCATATACACGTGTATGCACACATGTGCACACGCACGCACACCTGACTGGTCGCACAGAGTGCTGCCTCCCTCAGCCAGCCCGCACTGTCCCCGTTCCTTTGGGTTTCCTGGTCACTGCGGAGTCAGGCTGGACAGCACTTGCGCGTGCTCTCAGTCTGTCTTTCTCTTTCTCAGAACAGAGGCTGTGGGGCCAGCCGAGTGTTGTCTGTGTTCCGTGCAGTCTTCAGTCGGCCCCGGTTGTCCCTGCACTCCATCTCCTCCTGCCCGTGTCCCCAGCACACAGGGGACGTAGGCATGCTTGGAATGCTCCCCCTGACTCAGACCCACAGCAGGTGCCGAGGCTCTGCGCTGCCTTGGTGTGTTTGCCTTGGGAGGGGGAGCATGACCCGCCCCCCCCAGGCTGTGTCTGGCCCCCTCTCTGGTCTCTGGTTTCCTTCCACTACACCCAGGAGGCTGCAGCAAGGCTCTAAAGGGGCCTTCCCTCCTCTGCCATGCTAAGGCAGGAGAGTCTCTTCCCATCTGCAGACAGCCTTGTCGGGGAGGACCATCCTTCCCTCCAGCTCTTAAAGGCTCAGCCCTGCCATGCTCATGTGGGGAGCCCTCCTTAGGGTCCCCCTGAGAGAAGCCATGCTTGGATGTGTCTATGAGTTTCTGTGGACTTTGCTCCCCATACACAAGACTCTGGCTTATTTACACATTAGGGGGGTAAGCAGACATGCCCGTGGAGCTGGCTTAGTCATTAGATGCCCTCTTTTTTGCCAAATAATTGCAGCATCAGGTTTACCCCATGAATGACCCTATTAAAAGGTAAAGGAGAGAAAAGGAAGACCTTAACCCATCCCCATGCTGGTGGGGCTGCTAGAGAGGCAGGCAAATGGTCTCATTTTGTTTAAAGCAAAGCAGCAGTGAACACCACTGTTGCCACCCTCCTCCCCACCTCACAATGCCTCTGGGAGCTTTGGACAACTGGGGCTTATGAAAAATTGACTCAAAATATTTTTGGAGCTATGAAGTCATCTGTCATACCACCAGGAGGAATGGACCTAGGGTTCCTGGCTCCATGACCATATATAATAGCATCTCCTGACTGCTCCTCTGTACACTGAGCTGTAAGGTTGTGCTTACTGTCCCCTCCACATCTGCCTGAAAGTGATTATGTGGAACTGCCTGAAGAGGCCACTTGGTCATCACTGTAAAGCAAGGCTCAGCCTATGGTTTAGAGGGCAGGGAGAGGGAGAACATGGGATCAGGGATTGGGTGAGTGACTTGGTCAAGTCAAGCAATCCTCCTGAGCCTCAGTTTTCTCATCTGAAAAATGGGAATAGGAATATATATGCGCCTTACTTGTCTCACAGAGTTATTATAGGGCTCAAATAAGGTAGATAAAAAACAACACGTGGGATTTGAATCCCTATAGAAATATGAGATGCTGTTATATGGCCCCATCATACCACACGGAGAAGTCTCAGGATAAACATGGGGGAGAGGCTGCCTTGATTGGGTCAGCCAACAGTTACTCTTTTAAGGACTCTGGTCTTTATGATCTCCCTCCAGCCTCCAGTTGTTTTTGTTTTCTTCTTCTCTAAGGAATGGAAATTCTCATAAAATTCCCAGCCCTGGGTCTGGGTGGAGCAGGGGCAGGGGCATCTGGGAGCTCTGGCTGCTTTGGGGTGGTCCCCAGATGGCAGTTTTGGTGGTTTCATCTCCACAAGGAGGAAGGCACTCGCGTGCCAGTTTCTCTTCTCTTTCTCAAAGTCATTCTTCCTTTATGCCAGTGTTTAATAGGTATTTGTTGGATTGGTTTGGTGAGACTCTAAGCAAAGCAATGGAAATAAAATGCCATTGGGAAAAGATGATAGTTAAGTGACCAAGATTTAGACAAAGGCCAAGTATAGGATGTCAACACTGTCCACCCAAACTGATGAGTTTCACAAGGAACTCATGCATCCCTGGAAGAAAAACTGCCTCAGGCAAAAGCGCACAGGACTCAAGGCACTTCTGAGTGGAAAAGGTCTTTAGGGATTCTCCTTTTTCAACTCTCATTTCACAGGTAAGAAAAATAAAAGAAAGGGATTTGGCTAAAAGACGAAAGGTGGAGCTAAGACTCAAACCCAGGTCCTCCATAACCATTATATTTCTCCTAAACCTAGGAACATAACTTCATCAAAAAGTGGCCAAGGTGTCAGTCCCATATTTGTAGTTCTTGATCTAGAACAACAAGCTATGGCTGATTTGTTGAGGTTCAGTCATAGCCTTTTATCCAACCAGATCCCAGGGTCTGGCAGGGTAGACTGTTGAGACATCTTAGGCACTGGAAACATATCTGGACAGTGACCCAGGAAGGCCCCCAAAGATGCAACATATAGCAGGCACAGGAGGCAAGAGCACAGAGTATCTAGGTAGAGGGTAAATGAATGGCAAGCTGTCTTGGCAGGAGGCTGAATGGGACAAACATGGGAAGACAGAGGGTGTCAGAAAAATGGCACAGGATGGATAAGTTCCTTCAGGGACTAAGGCAGGTAGGAGGAAAAAAAGTCAAAGCTAGACTGCTACAAGTGGAGTGTAAAACATCAATCTGGTTCCACCCTCCAACTCACCCCATAAAACTCCCTCCAAGAACAAAGGGTTGCCTTCAATATAAAGGATGGAGTACATGACCACCACAAATCAGTGTGGGTAGAACAGACACCTGTCCTAGAACCCCATTAATTATCTTAGGATCTATAAAGAATTGGTCTCAGAGTGTGCAGGTGGTAGTAAGTAACTTCAGTTATGGAGACTGGAAGAATGCAGGACATGAGAAGGCAGATGAATCCCATATTTCTATACTCAGATTCTTTCTTCTAGAAGGGAAGAAAAGGAGATGAAAGGCAGATGAATCGATGCATAAAAGTTTCTAAAAAATTTGTTTCCAAAACACACTCTTTTTTAAAAAATTGAGAAATAGTGGCAAAAAGATCTAAGGGCTGCCTCCTCCTACCTGACTTTTTTTTTTTTGAGTGACATTGCTCAGTTAGTCCTACTGTGGGCAACAAGGAAGGGAAGGCAGGGTTCTCTAGGCGGAGCGCTGGATGGCATCTGGAGGAAAACCAAAGCTGCTCGGTCTCCTCGCGCTTCTGGTCTTCAGCATGTGTTTGGCAATGCGAGGTGTCGTTAAATGTCCCATTCTCATAAATACTCGAGCCTTGAAATCTTTAACTTTGTTCACAGCTGGACCTGGGCCCAGGATGACCATCACTTAAGTGATCCCATGCCTTGGAGAGCCTCCGCTGGGGCTTTCATGTTCAAAGGACGTGGCCCATTGAAGACTTGGAATATGGACTTGCTCTGATCTTCACAGTCTTCCGTCCTCACAGCCAAAGCGGGGCTGATTTTAAAAAGGTGACTATCACCTTTCTCTCTCCCCTGCCCCAAATCATCAACTGTTCAAGGGCAGACGAAGATAATGCAACACAGGAGCGGAGGAGCAGTGGCTGGATCAGCAGACCCGAATTCTTGAGTTTCCATAGCTTTTCTTCCCAACAGGCAAACATCTCCCAAGACACCCGTCCGTCATGAAACGCAAACCACGATAGCTGAACTTTTCAACTGGATGTTGAGGGTTGGCCTTGAGATAAAAGAAAAAAGATTTTGAAATCTCTGTTCACACAGCATAGTCTGAAATTCCAAGTGTGCACACATTGGGAGAAAGCGTCAGATGATTTCCTTTCATTGCGAGAACAGCGGGGGTGTTATTAACCATGGTCCCAGCTCAAGACATCAAGGTGGGCTGGTCTAGGTCAGCCCAAGAATAGGTTCTAGCCTTTGGGGGAGTCAAATTGGGCAAGGGGTTGCATCTGCACCATTGATGACTGGCATTCTGCTGCAGGGTAGGGAGAAGGCACATATAAAATGATGGTTAAGCAATGAATTTAATTGGTGCTGCTTGTTAGTTTTGTGATAAGACCATGCATGTTGGGTGAGTGCTGAGAAAATGTACTTGGTGCTGGGGCAGCCCGGGAGGTCCCGGGGAGGCATAACTAACAGACTCTTGACGTTCACTCCCAGGGGAAGGAAGCCGTGTTCCCTGTGGGAGAAAGTGTGACAGATAGGAGAAGACTAAGACTAACTGAGCATCCAGTGTGTGCTAAAGATTGCACAAGGCATGTGGCATAGACAGTTTTGTGTTTAGACATCCCAGCTGTGAACAAGGTCGTGCTGACCCTTAGTTTACAGAAATGGAAATTAGTAGCTTAGAGAGTTAAAAGACCTGTTAAAGCTGTGTCCCCCCACAGCCCCGAAGGCCTGGAGCTCTGGGCTGGAGTTGCTCACCAGAAGTATTTGCAGGACCCTGCCTTGCTCCTGGAAACAGCACGTAGCCACCAGGCTTTATCTACCCAGATAGAAGTGGCTGCTTTAACTTGGACCAAGAGTGGGCAGCTACCTGGCAGCACCAAGCACTGTACCCTGCGGGAAGGCCGGCATAACTGGCCCCCCGGACAGGACTGTGAGATGCCCGTTCCTAAGAGCTGCAGGTGAGCTCACCTTGCTCCATCTCTCTCCATGACTGGCTTGGCTCTGCAAAAGTGAGACACTTGGGATTCAGCTCTGCTCCGCATCCAGCCTGGCGGGAATCTATGCTCGCATCCGAAAGCCCACAGTTCTCCATGGTTCCAGCAGTCACCTAGGATATTTGCCTAAGGGCTGCACCTTGTCTCTTTCTCTATGTTGCCTTGTGTTTCAATGCAACCCGTCCATCCCCTCTCAACACACGGAAACTCGCCCCTGTGGGCAGAGGTATATTCGAGGCCTTATTATTAGCCTGACTCCTGCTCATGGGACACCCTGACTTGCTGCTGGGTACAAGCTGGGCTGATGGTACAGAGACACCAATGGGCGTGATGAGGTGCCACTGAAGGAGAGGAGAGGCAGAGTTGAAAAGTGGTGGAAACGGTAGGGAGGGCAGGCTGGGCTGAACCACAGACAGTGGAAAGACCAGGTGGGGATTAAATACTTGGCCGGATGGTGTTAGCAAAGATTTGATGGGCTTAGTGCCTCATGCTCGGGCTGGAAGCTACATGAGGCGAGGAGGTAGGGGGAGAGACCGGAGGTGTGAGAATGAAGAAACTGACAGACGACCCAAGAAGGAGACTCTGGATCTAAGGTTTCTATACAAGGAATGTGGAGGGTCCATGCAAGCAAAAACCTGAGGAATAACCCTTAGCACTTGGCTTTTGACTGTGTAATAAGTAATACATCTCATTAAAACACTTCAAACCTTCAAAGAGGGACCACGCAGTGTAAAGCCACCTGCACCTTCAGGCCAGACTTCACTCGAGCCGAACCAGATGGAACTTTTTATCCTGAACGTTCTCCCGACTCTCTGGAGAGGGTTTCAGTGTCTCACAGCATTGATAGCAGCTGTTCTGATGCTCTCCCTGAACAATGAAAGCATTTTAACTTCCTCTTGGCTACGGCCCTGCTGCACAGGGACTGCACGTCACTTAGACGGGGTTCTCCAGGCCCCTGGAGATTATGGGTCCCCATCAGCACCGCCCATAGGCAGCTTATTGCAGTTGGCTGAGTGACACAGGTACAAGATCCCAGCCTCCTTGCCTGCAGGTGGGATCAGGGGGTCAGGCTAACCCAGACTCCAGCTAAGACCATATTCTGACTAGTTTGCCTCCTGTCCCATCCTGCTTCCTCCAGTCTTCTTTTCCTGAGAGCTTTCCCCCAATAAGTCACTTGCACAAGAATCCCCAATTCTGGGAACCCGAATTTAGACACTTGGGGTTCAAAAGGGTTCATTTATAAGAATTGAATCCATACTGTAGGTTGAATGAAACATGTACAGTTTACTGAGCAGAAAATGTAACCATGACCAGAGGGGTTAAGAAAATAGCACTCATGCCAAATAGTCCAACCCAAGGGCATTTTAGAAGGGGACCTAGTTACAGAGGTTTTGGAAGAGCTGAAAATCGAACAGAAATGCAAATTAAAGATTAGAAATATGTGCTCACCTTTAGGGCTAGAGGGACAGAGAGCAGAGATGGTGTCATCAGAGCCTGGGAGCTCCGGCTGCCTGGGTGGAATGGAACCTTGGAGATGGAAACATGGGGGAAGCTGCCCAGGGGATGCTGGGGCCATGAAGGGAGGCAGGGACTCCCACTCCCAGTTTCCTGTTGGTTCTTCCCACTGGCCGAAACTATCAAGGAGCCAGTGGACAAGGGAGCCTGGGAAATGTAATTTTCAGGGGGCCGATGCCACACAGAGCAGAACAGGAGAAAGGCAGAGACTAGGTCCAAGTCCAAATAGGCACATGACCAGCACGACACAGGAGAAACACACATAATCAACTAGGGTGAGATGCATGTGAAGTCCTCACTCCTCCACAAGCTGTTGGGGAGCCGTCAGCACTGAGAGACTAGGGAGAGCCTCTGAGCTATTCCTCTTCTTCTTCCCTCTGCTACACACATCAGCTTTGGATTCTGGATCAGTTACTGACCGCCTGTACTGGTTGATCCGGGCCGGTTGCTTCCTGTAGCCTGATTGTTGATGTAGTAACTGCAGAGAATTCTGTAGTCACTCTTGTAATCCAAACCTAGCTATTGAGGCAACAACCCCAAGCATTGGTTGCTTTCCATGTGTAAAATGGAAACAACAGCACCTACTTCTTGTAGGTCCTGGCTCTTTGGGGCCCCTGGGTTTCTAAGGAAATAACGTACATAAAATAGTAAGCATAGTGCCCAGAACATAGAGAGAGTGCTTCATAAATGGTGTCTTTATCATCATCATCATTAGTATTAATACAACTGCAAGATTTATCCACTGGACCCTTTCAATGACTGTGGTGGACACACTCTGCAGTGGGGTTCTAGATTCATCTGTGGCCAAGATTTTATGAAGTCAGAGCTCACATGATGCTTAAATCAACCAGGCTCAGATCGAAATTGCTCTCTGAGCTGACAACATTTTAACCTGAATCTCCTTTAATATATCAAGTGGAGACTGTGAATTGCAGTTGCTAAAATCCATTACTACATCACTCGATCTGAGACGTGTGGGCCAAGGGAGTTCCACTACTGCAATCCCTACACATCGTCAAGGAGTTGTTTTCTCAAGAACATCAGGTGAGAAGAGTAATTTAACAAGAGCAGTAATCGGTGTCCAAATAAAAATTCAAGTTTTGAGAATTAGGTCATCCTAAATGGAACTCAGAAACCTGGGTCTAAAAATAGACTGATTCCATGTGGGGTTAGAGATGAAGTGTTTGGGGCCGTGTCAGGCAGAAAGTTAGAGCTGAGACCCGTGCATGAGACCAGGAGCCTCAAATGTCCCACACTCACTGAAATGGTTTGATTGCTAATTTCATGTCAACTTGGCTGGGCCACAGTAACCAGATATTTGGTCACATATTATTCTGGGTGTTCCTGTGAAGGTTTTTTTTTGATGAGATTAACATTTAAATCAGCAGATGATGAGTGAAGCAGATTTTCCTTCATAATGGGGGTGGGCCTCATCCAATCAGTTGAAGGCCTTCATTTAAGAATGAAGATTGACCTCCCCAAGCAAGAAGGAATTCTTCCAGCAGACTACCCTTGGACTCAAACAGCAACTCTTTCCTGAGCCTCTAGCCTGTTGGTCTGCCCTGCAGATTTTAGTCTTGCCAAGCTTTCTTAAAATAAATCTCTATGTATCTGTCTGTCAGTCTGTCTCTCTGTCTCTCTCTCCCCCTATCTATCTTGTTGGTTCTGTTTCTCTGCAGACCCTTAATCCAAACAGTGAACTAGAGAAAGTCAACTCACCATCGAAGGAAACGTATCAGCGGGCTCAAAACTCTCTCATCCCTCCGCTGAATGAAAAAGAACCTCTTTGGGGAATTTGCATCCTGGGGTTCCCTCCTATGGGTTCCAGGTTCAAATTTACCCCAGGAGACCCCAAACCTTGAGATTAATAGAAAGTGGTTCTTGGTAGGCAACCATTCTGGGGCATCCGGAAAGAAGCAAAACTAAAACCTTCAGGAGAGATTCCTGCCACCCCAACCTGTCTGCACTGGACACCCGCAGATATCGCCCCCCTATATACGCTCCCAACTTCAAATTATAAAACACATGCTGAAGCAAAACCCAAGAGCCAGAGCCAGAGCCAGGGAGAAGTGGAGGGGGGCGCACCAAAGGGGTTCAGATTGGAAATAGCCTGGTTACTCCCCCCTAAGGAAGGTGATCGGAAACCTGCCCGCTCTGGGCGACGTTGGAGTGGAGGTGGGTTCATTCGGCGGGGGAGGGATGGGGAGCATCTTCTTTAGCGTGTGGATCTGACGACGAACCCCCCGGGGACTAGAGGAAGATGGGGAAGCCATAAGATAGGGGTGAGTCAGGGAGCCAGGGGGGCAGAGGCTTCCCCACAGCTTCAGTGAGGTTTTAGCCAAACGACACGCACAGGGACGGCCCAGAGGACAAGAGACAGTGCTGAGGAAACCCGCCCTGGGAGACAAAGCACAAAGGAGGGGAGCAGCTGGCCTGGGGCCAGGCTAATGCCCACACCCAAGGGAGCCCGAGAGCCCTGCCCACAGCGGTGGGGTGTGTCCGCCTGGAGAAAGGAAGTCTGCCCTCCAGACACTGGGGTACC